TCTTATGGTATTAGGTCTTTAACGTATATGTCAAGACTTACCATTGTACAATCTAATATTTAACTTCCAATTGCCAACTGATTATTATTGGGCTATGTGAAGAACGTCGATGACTGGACTAGTTTAAATTCTCTACGAATTAATCCTATTTGCAACGGTTCTAAAGATTAGGGCTGAACACTTACGATTTCAAATTCACAGACTCTGAGATGATTACACGGTGTACGAGACACAAGAACGGATGAACCGGTGATGCGGATACTTTAATAATAATAATAATAATAATTATTATTATTATTATTATTATTATTATTATAATTATTATTATTATTATTATTATTATTATTTAATAACTTGATGAATAAGTTAGGTTTAGGGCTTTAGGTGTCTTATTTAAAGACTCCTTCTTTGTTATTTGAGCAGTTGATTATTGAAATGAAATAAGATTAGATATTGTGAGTTTTGCGTGTTTTACGAGAGAGTATCTCGTTTACTCGTTTTGTTCCCTTTCGTATCACGTTCTAAATCAGTTGGTATCAGAAGTCAACACGATTCAAGATGCCGCCGTGGAAGGACGACATCGACGGGCGTGACGCCACCATTGAGTATCGGGGTCGACAAGCCACGGGCTTGGGCCGCCAGATCAATCAATAGGATTGTCGGGTTGAGGATCTTTCAATGGGGATCGAAGAAGTGCGTCTTACGATCAACAACATGGTCGAGGATTTGCAGACGAACCGTGACGCCAGCAACCGGGGCGTGCGCGGGAGAATTCGCGGAGGACGTGGAGGCCGTGGTCCAGGCGGGGCGCCCTGCCAGGGATCTCCACAACCACCATCCGGCAACAAAGACGGAGAGAAAACAGTCTCGGAGGTGAATCCCTTCGACGATTATCCACCCCCGCACGTCGAGGCTGACCCCTTCGCTGCATACGACGGCCGTTACATGCGGCGACGGGGTCTGATCTTCGTGGACGGCTATGATCAACGCGACGACAGTGGCAAGCGCGAGGAGGCTACCTTCTTCCGTGTATATCGTGCCCGATGCGATTGAGGACTTGAACATGATGGCGCTGGCTTCGCGGGGTTCGACATCCTCGAGTTTTTCGGTGGGTTGGATCGTGAAAATGGTCGATGGGAGGGCCCGTTTCGCGTTGACATCTCCAAATTCGACGGATAGCAAGTTGATGATCATTGTACGATGGTCCGCCTGTGTTTGATGAAGGACTTGATGAGGTGGAGGAGCGTCTTACCGACAAAGTGGAAGGCCTCTACGACGGCTCGCCGATATTTGATAAGAAGCCTTCGGGGCTGAAGGATGAAGCTGGAACTGTTTTTATCAAAACCGTTGAAGAAAAAACACGGTTATATATGTTGAAGCAGTTTCATAAGGGAAGTGTGAGGTTGCCATTGTTGACGATGGTGCACTTTCCAAATCGATTCTCAGAAACAAAAAATGTTATTTATTTTATTGTGGTTCCGAAGTATTTGTTTGGGTTGACTGGGTAACTCAAGTGGAGGAGAGGAAAAGTGTCATTCGCGCAACCGAAGATTTTGTGGCTCGCCAAGGTAGATCACAGTGCCGTTCAACCTTCGTGTTCGACCGGAGAAAACGACGTGGGTTTCCTACCAAGGTTCGAGTTTGACACCACAAGCCTGCCACAGGTGCACAACGACTTCGAGGGCGAAGCCTTCCGGACCGAAGGAGAATGATGCGGATACTTTAATTATTATTATTATTATTATTATTATTATTATTATTATTATTATTATTATTATTATTATTATTATTTAATAATTTGACAAAATAAGTTAGGTTTAGGACTTTAGGAGTCTTATTTAAAGACTCCTTCTTCTTTGTTATTTGAGTAGTTGATTATTGAAATGAAATAAGATTAGATATTGTGAGTTTTGCATGTTTTACGAGAGAGTATCTCGTTTACTCGCTCTTTTCCCTTTCGTATCACGTTCTACATCAACTTGCCTCTTTTTACTTCGAGATGTTCTATTGTATTTGTTTGTTGTGTTTTTGTGGTATTTTTCTTGTGTTTTTCGTGTCTTAGTCAAGTCTTTTTAGGTTCGTTTTAGTGGCGACTTATCCATTTTATCATATTTCATGTATTTTTGCGTTCATCATGTGTTTTTGTGGTTCGACGTATTTTCTTGTGTTTTTGGCGTTGTGTTGGTCCATGTTACTAAGCTTGAGAAAGTGAGTTGTTTGAGCCTTCTCGAGCTGTCCCGGGCCATTTTTGAGTCACGACTCGCGCACCAACTGCGCCTAGCACTCGCTCGCGACCCCAACGCCCATGCTCATGCACTCGCCCATCAGCTGTCGTCCGAGAGGTCGCAGGTCACCCAGGAAAATCCGAGCACTCCCACGCGAGCTACCACTAGCGATCGAGCGAGGCACGTGCAAGACGCGCACAACTCGCCATCAGACAGTCGTCCGCATGCACGCGAGAAGGCGAGAGAGAGACCCGCAAGCAAGTCGCCAGCCACTGCCAACCCTATGCTTGCGAATTCCACCTCAAGCACGCAGCCCTTCGCCCGCGTGATGCAATCCGTGGTGTCGTGAGTGCCCTGCGAGCACTGTCCACCAAGCGCATCACTCGCCAGCGAGCCCGAAGTCGTGACCCCGCGAGCGTCACCCGTCCATCCAGTGCCTCTCGCTGCGAGCATCATTCGCGAGCGTACAACCTGACACGAGAAGGCTTAAGAGCAGCCTGCACTCGCCAGCGAGCTCCTTAACGCGCCCGCGCGCGTCCAACAAGCTTGCCAGCGAGCTACCACGCGCGACGCCGCAAGTTGAAGGCCGTGACCAGCCCGATGCACATGCCACTCATTGTGAAACCTATTTCAGGACCCCACGAGTTTAACTTCATTAAATGTTTGTGCACCTAGTGCGTGTTTTTTAAGAGTAGTATAAACACATGTGCTCTCTTTATGTGGGAGCACCTAATTTTCATTTCTCACATTTCCCTTTTGGGAATTTCTCTATTTTATTTTATGCTTTAATTGTGTTTGGGAACTCCAAGACTTGATATTTTCTGGCAACTTTTCTGGCTACTTTATCTTTATCTGAGATTCGATCTTTACGAATTATTTTCGTCCGAGCTTGCGATAGGAAGGTAAGTACCCTGATTAGAACTTATTACTTCGAGTTTGTTTTCCTTCTTGCTTATGATGTTTATCAAGGTGATTTTAGGGTCTTAGTCGGAATCTCGTGTTGATGCTCGATTTTAGAACTTCGCTATATTTCTTGCGTGTTTAAGTGTTAGGAGTTAAATTTGTGTCTATCCTTTTATATATAAAGGTCTTGATGACTTTGTTTAAAGTGTGGTCATTTAGTTAAGATGACTCAATTTATCTACTTATGATCTTATTGCTAGCATATTCTCTTTGTTTATTTCATTTTCATCAAGTCAAGGGGACTCCAGATAACCAAAGTTCAAGTATTTCTTTCAAAATTGGCATTTTTACTTCAATTGCTCTAAAGTCTTAGTTTTATTTACTCTTAAATCAAACTCAACCATCATGCTTAGTACGTTTAAAATTTTATTTAGGATTTTATTTGCTCTTTTTGTGTTCTTGGACAACTAATTAGTAGGCGAAACTCCAAAGCGTCTTCCTTTGAGAACGATCCGAGTTCGGATAACAACCATACAATGGCGTCGTTGTCGCGAAATGCAAGTAGAATTTCAAGTTTGCTTATTAGGGAGTGCAGAGATACAAACGAACTCATCCAGATGGATCGACGTTGTTTTGGCGGTCGACCGTCCTCCTGTAGTCCTGTGCCTTTAGGTCGTAAATTAGGTTCCATTTATTATATCATGAATTGAAACATTATTGGGCCAAATTAATTGATGTCTTTTCGGATGGGCCCAAGAAATAAGAAGAGATGGTGATAATGTACGACATAATCGTGTAGTCTACTTAACAAGACAAAGACAATAAAAATAAATCGAATATAGTGATAAAAATTGCAGTAATAAATTAAGTAAATGGTTAAAAAAAAAAAAAGGACGGGATATAAGAAGGGAAATTATGTCAAAAGGTTAAAATGATGTCTGAACAAATATGTACTCGAGTATCAATAGTTTGAAGCAGCCCGGAGTCCCACATTAGGGAGACAAAAAGCAGCTGTATAATTGTCTCTTCCAATATGTGTTTTTCTCTGTTTTTGACCAAAAGCATTGCCCTTTTTTTATCTTAAAGTGTAAAAGCGGTATACAGAGAAAAAAAAAACGTTTCTTTGTGTGGGACGAGTTCTTGTTTTTCCTGTTGGCTGCCAAAAAAGGGTTTTGTTTTTCTAAGCACCATAATTACTTTTATTCCCTCATGTGACTTGGACAAATGCAGGATATTTTGTCCATTTCCATACTAAGTTGGGGAGATGTTACGGTTTCGTTACAGAGAACTATAACGTCGGAGTCTGTAACTGTTAGATCAATTATCCCTGATAGTTACATGATGATGCAGCGGTTATAAATTCCGACAGAATTATTTTGTAACGGAACCGTAGCATTTTACACTAATTTAACACAACACAACAACCTTTTTTCTTTCCATATTCTACTGATTTTTCAAAACAAATATCTCAGTGAGTGTTAGCTCTCTAGATAATATATATTTTTTATGGTGACTGTTTCACGTTCGAAATTCGTTTATTTTTTTTCATTAGGCTCTCTTTTTTCCCTACCAAATCTATGTTGGATTAATAAGTAAATGTTATCCAAATTTTTCTTCATATTTGACTAATTGCACTCATGAAAGTAATTTTCTCAAGTAACATAAAGGCAATTTTCCGAAACATATGTTCGTTTAAGAGATGACTACAGTCTCGTTGACTGAATAATTTCGTCAGTAGTTTCTAACGTAGATTATCTACACAAAACTAATCTACATGTATATTTACGGTAAATGCTATTGAAGGAACCATTCCGTTAATATTTTCCGTTTATCCAATCGTAAAATTTAGTTTATACATATGAATTTTAAATCATGAATCAAAATCGGGCCCTACATTTTAGTGGGCCTTATGAACATCGCCCATTGGGCTACGACTACAATTTTAAATGTCACTGGGCCGAAGTTAAGAGAGGGAGAGAGGTCAGAAGTCAGAACACAGAACAATATTACCCACCACACCCGCCGGAACTCAGTCAGCACTCCATCTCCGATTGGCAGGCGCAACCGGAAGCTGCCCTGAAGAACTTATTTCACAGACAAAGATCCAAAGCGGTAAGTTCCGGCTTCCTAATCGTCCAACCCCAATTGCCCCAAATGACTCTGTACGATAATCATTTTGAAATGTCTTAGGTTAAAATCCTTGATAGGATAGAGATATAGAGAGATCCTTATTATTCGTTAATCGGCAACACATTGGGTGTCGGCCCGCATATTGGGATGGCTAAACGTTAATTACTTTGCTGATGTTGTGAAATAAATACGTTCTGTGTATCTCATTGTTTGGACCAATTTGCTGAATGTCGGGGTCCGGCCTGTTATTAATCTACACTATCTCAGTTTTCTGTAGAGTGATTGAGTGTCTTAACACACTTCAGCTCGAAAGACCCAGAATAGGGATGTTATGTAATCTAGTCCATTGGCTTATTAACTGTGAGCTTCTCTTTGTTTTCTGACAGTATTCTTTTCTACTAATTCTTTGCACCTAGTTGGAGAGTCCTAATGATATGAAACTGAAATACGATATTCGAGAGTTTATTTGAATCCGATTTCGTGTTTGATACGACTGAAATTTTACTTATGACTCCATCATAGCAAGATATTTATTAAAAAAAGGATTATGTTTCAAGAATACATGGCTTGATGGCATGAAGATAGTAATTCATTTGTTAACACCTGGTTCGATTAGGTATTATCATTTTAGGTTGATGTGAATGTGATTTTTAGGCTTCCCATGTTTTTAGCAATGAGAGTACTTGTCTATATTTTGTTTTGTTAACTTCCTATCTGACCTTTTGGCCCACATCCGCAAAGAACAAACTTGTGTGCAATTTCCTAAATTTGTTTGAGATTTTAGTTCATGAAGCTATTTTCTGAAGTGAGAGAGCTTATTTCCTCTCGTACAAGGTTGAAATTAATTTTAGTGCAACTTGGATATGTTAATCAGAATTTTGAAGATACAAAGACTGATCTTTCTGCCATCTTAATGTAAAAATGTATGGTCTGGAACATACGAGAAACACCTAAAACAGTTTGTAAGGAAAACAAACCAGATACGAATTGGATTAACCTCAGATATTCAATTTAGAGTTACGATATGAATTGGACGAACCAAAAAACCAACTGACAGCTTAGTTATTGAAATTCCATTTTTTGCATTTTTCTGGTGGTGCTCCTATTCAGTACTTACTCCTACTCTAACCTCCTTGGTAATCCTATTCGCACTTCCTTAAATTAATTTCTATGATGGCTATATATAAATGGAATCACATTTTTAAGAGAAAATATGAATTACCACCCACACAAAAAGTTTACGGTGATTCTGTTTTTACGAGACACCTATCTTATTTCCCAACAGTTCATCTATCTTGGTCCTCTCTTTTCTGAAAGCAGTGTTGTTTGTACTCTCTTTTGCAGCTGTACTTGGAAGGTATTTTCATGTCAGCATAGCAGATGAGTAGGAGATGCTGAGTGCTTACATGACTTCGGATTGTATTATTTACCATTTGGTCTTGATGATATGTCCACAATGAGTTAAGGCAGATTCTAATTGGATTCAATTGTTTGCAATGCCAGAAATAAGTTTCCGATCTCTCTTCCTCTTTTCAGCATTTTTCCGTGTCGTGTTAATTTTGTATGGGGAATGGCAAGATGCTCATCTGGAGGTTAGGTACACAGATGTGGACTATTTTGTGTTTTCTGATGCTGCAACCTTAATGGCAAATGGAAAATCACCTTATGAAAGATCAACATATCGGTATTCGCCACTTATTGCTTTTCTCCTCATACCTAATTCGTTTCTACATCATTCATGGGGAAAATTTCTTTTCTCAGCATCAGGTAAGTTGTATTCATTAATGAGCACTCTTCAATATCTTTCATAGTTAATTTAGAGTGGCTTGGATTTAAACTGACTTTTGATAGGATGATCTTACTATAGATATCCTCGGTAGATTTTGGATTATATGTTAACTGTTTTATTGATGTTGATACCCTTATTTAATTGTGTTGTAGTATTGTAATATCGTAATTTGTAGAAATCATGCTTCCAAATTCCACTTCACGAACAATGTTCTGGATAAACCCTTTCTTTTCAGGCATAATGAGCAAAGAAACATCAAAATGCATGCAAACGAGAAGGAAAAAAGAATTTTAAATGAGGAAAAAAAAATAAAGATAGCTTCCTGGAAGAAACAAAAGATCTCATTACTGAGATTAACTTAGCTCTTTCATTGGAATATATTGTTGGAAACATTGACAACCTCAAGGATAGTGACATAGTGATGTCCTGTGTTAAGACTTAAGTTGTGAATCTTTTGGATATGCACTACACAGTGGTAATGCATTTTCAATGATAATCAGATCCTGATGTATCATACACACGACAGATCTATTGGTGGGGTTTTTTATCCACAGAATTTTGAAGTTACGAGGAGTTCCCGAAAAAATCTGCACTTACGCCACAATGATATGGCTTTTCAACCCATTTACCTTCACAATTGGAACACGTGGCAACTGTGAGCCCATCGTTTGCTCCATGGTTCTTGGGATCTTAATCTGTTTGATGAATGGTACGCTTTTTCTATACCTTTACCCCATAGCTTTAATAATTTTTGGTTTTATTACAACTGCTGCCTTGTTCATGTAAAATCTCTTTTTCTGATGCTGCTTGCAACAGAAAAATCTACTCATAAGTGAGTAATCTGTAGCATTCTTATTATCATTAAGAGAATGGTTTAATTTTTTGTTGACATCAGACGTAACATTCGTGATGCTGATACCATGAATTTAATAAAATAAAATATTCTGCAGCTTAATTCATATATGTCAAGGAAAATTATTCTGCTTTCAGCTATACATCAACCAGCACACCCAATTATTTTCTTTCATTTTTGCAGTACTTTAAAAATTAAAACCCAGATGTGAGACGCCAATTTATTATCTTGTCTCATTTTTGGACCACAGATCGTCCCTCACAGGCTGCATTCTGGTATGGGCTTATTGTCCACCTGAGGATATATCCAATAATATATGCACTTCCCATCATCTTCGTTCTTGATCCCCTGCATTTTCGACCAGGTAAAAAGCCCACCCTCGTGGACTGGAATTCTAGATCATCAAACTCATCATGGGTTTGGCACAACTCAAAAATAACCTATTCCCACTATATTCGGAACATTCTAACAAGCATATTCACTTGGAAAAGGGTCGTATTTGGGATTATATCTGCTTCCACTTTCTTCATCTTCACCGGATTCTTTTTCTATTTATATGGATGGGATTTCTTGCATGAGGCCCTAATGTACCATCTCACGCGTACAGACCCACGCCATAATTTCTCCATATACTTCTACCACATATACATCCACTACGAACACGAGTTCTCGATCCTGGAAAAGCTGATTGCCTTTCTGCCTCAGTTTACTGTCCAGCTGGTTCTGATTTTCCGCTTTGCGCTCGACTTGCCTTTCTCTTTCTTTCTGCAGACACTGGCGTTTGTAGCATTTAACAAGGTGTGCTAGACTATACAATATCCCATTCTATTCTTACCATATTGCCATTGTTATTTTTATGATTTTATCATATTACTATTGTTATTTATTTATTATGTGTGGTTCGTGTTCAGGTGATAACGGCACAATACTTCGTCTGGTTTTTTTGTCTGTTGCCTCTAATACTGCCATGGACTACTATGAAGCTTAAATGGAGAGGCCTGGCATGCATATCTGTGTGGATTGGAGCTCAAGTCCATTGGCTAATGTGGGGTTACTTGCTGGAATTCCGGGGCAAGAATGTCTTTTTGCAGCTATGGCTGGCAAGTTTGTTAATCTTGGCAGCTAATACTTTTGTTATCATCAGTGTGATACGTGGTCATGTGTACTGCCCTCTCTTCAAACGGTTGCAGGAAGCAGATCCAACTGAAATTGTGAAACACGATTAGCATAGTTTGTTCACTTTATATAGTTTCAGACCCTACTAACTCCGATATCATTGTTATCCTATACCAATAGTTCACTTTATATAGTTGCTATAATAATAATAATAATAATAATAATAATAATAATAATAATAATAATAATAATAATAATAATAATTTTTATATTTTAACTAATCAATTAGTTATATATTGTTAATATCTACTAATGATCATATTTATAAAATGTGATATACTGATCATTAAACGTATAATTATAAATATAATAACTATACATATCTCTTATACATCTCTTATAATTAGACGTGGCCAATTGCCGGGCCGCGGCCTGGCCCGCCGGGTTGGCGGGCCTCAATCTCTTGGCCCGTGGTTGGCCTGCCCATTTATATGGGCCGATTCATCGACCCGGCGGTTCATGGGCCGAGACGGTCTTTTCTTTTTATATAAAAAAAAAATTAACTTGTGGCCCGTTGTCCGACCCGCAGCTCAATTTGGTCCGGCGCGGACCGGTGGGACCAAAAATAAAAGAATTTGAACCAGGACCGAACTGCGACCCTATTGGTTCGGTTCACGGGGTGGTTTGGGCCGGGCCGGGGCTAGTCCGTCGGCCGGTTCGGCCCGTGGGAATGTCTACTAATAATATTTTACTCACATTTTCGTATGTGTACAAGATTGAGTCCTGTACTAGTCCAAAACTGTATTCCCTCTCACCATCGCTTGTCACATTAAACCTAATTCTCCATTATTGACCATTGTTGACTCCATGGTGTCGGTGCCTCAAAGCCAGGTGTACCCAGTGAAGCAAAGTGCCCCACTTTACTATTTCCCCTCAATAATAAAAAAAAAAATTGCAGCTAAGCCCCCAAACTCAATAATGACTAAATCTCACACATAGCTGCACACTTCCCTGTGAAAGTTGACAAAGAAGTAAAGGCAACACGTCTCTTTGAGCGCCACGTACACCGTCACCGATCGGCGACAGATCAAATCCACGCCGTTGGCTGGCAAAGGTCCCTTTTGAAAGGACACCCCACTAAACTAATTAAATTTGTCCTTAATTTTTCCCCTTTCTTCTTGCATTTTATTCCCATTTATTCGGCATTATTGGAGCTGTTTCTTGTGATATTTATATATTGTGATTATCCTTTTCTTCATCAGGGCTATCATTTTCACTGCATTATTGGTCAATTGTTATGTTATGATAAGTAATGTGCTGTATAAGTTAACAAGATATGATTGCAAGAATTAGGAAACGAGTCTGAGTCGAGTCGAGCCGAGCCGAGCTTATCTGTACGGTTTCACTTTGCAATATTAAGTTCACAAACAGAGATAGGTGGGCATGTGAGATGCCTTTTTTTTTTTTTAATAGCGGCTGATAATGAAAATGGCCCCTCTCTCATATTTATATTCTCTCTCCTTCCTCTACTTACTGAAAATTACTTTACTGGAGTGCTCCAAGGTTATGACTTTGACACACAATTTTCTATAAAATTCATTAATTATGCTCTGCAGATATAAATAAAAAAATATCAAGAAGCATATCATTATTGCTTTTTAGTATTATGAGGCAGGGCTTTCAGTATTCTCACAGCCATTGCTACAGAGGAGCCATGGCTGGTGCCCTGATTTTGCTACTGCCATTGCTATTCCCTAGTCTTTTCACTCCTTTGAGCCATGCTTTGCCCTCTGTTCTCTCGGTATGTTTTAATTCCTTTTTTCTTTTTTTTTTTTTTTTTTTT